TTCCAAACTTCGCTTTTTCCCCGTTTCGATATGATGTTGAAAAGCCCACTTCAAAAGTTCTTAACATCGTCATTACTGCAAACTGTAGCACCATTATCTATTGAATTTTTATTAAAAATAAAACAATACTGTAAGTGCAAGAGAACGTATTACGGATAAAGAATTTTTAAACTCTATTTAAAACTTACATCGTTTTAGTGTAATTTACAAAAAGTTAGTAAGTTACTGAAATAAGGTACATATATATCTAATCCCATCTCCAAGTATTCGCGCAACAGTCACACAGTGTGAACATAACGTTTCATCTGTCAGCAAATGGGAATTGGGATGGTTTTCAAGACCCATTGTTAGACAAAGTTTACGAAAATCTTCACTGGCGTAACAAGTTCCTCGATTGCTTATAAATCTGTTTGGAACACCAAAAATTGCCACACAATCCTGAAACATTTGTGTAGTTTCCGTTACCTTTAATGTCTTGCTAGGTCGTAATATTATAAATTTTGTAAAAGCATCAATCAGTATAAATATGAATCTGTATTCGCCAGCAACTCGTTCATCAAAATGTCCAATAAAGTCGATATGAAGAAATGGAACGCGAGCGGTTGTTTTTGAATCGTATGCAGTTCGCATCGTTTCTAACCACTAGGACGTTTTGCAACTAGACAGGACGTTTTGCAACTAGACCGATAAAATTCCACGAATTTTCTGACATTTCATGTTAACTTGGGCATCCAAAATTGCTCTCGTATTTTGGTCACTGCTTTCTCTCAACCCAAATGACAGTTATCTTCATACTTATTGTTTCATAATGGAAAGCCTGGTTGATTACGGTAAATAAATGCCGCTTTTTAATTTATATTGTGTTAAGGTATTTTATCATGAATTTAAATTTTTGCTATTATATCCCTTGTAGTTGGATCTCGTTCTTGCTTTATATGTATCCATGAATTCAATTCGCCGTATTATTTACCACATAACATTGTTGACGTAGTATATTGGGATTGAAATAATCGGCATCCAGTAACGATTTATCCTTATAATATATAATTTCAAAATTAGAACCTTGTAGATAAATCCATCAGCATGCAACACGAGGTAACAAATCTTTCTTCTGTTTAGGGGCTTTTAAAGCGTTACAGTCTGTGACTAGTACGATTTCTATAGCTAAAAGGCATTGTCTGAAGTGTTTTAACGCTTTTACCATGACACTATCCGCAAATAGCCATCTGAACGCCATCTGAACAAAATAGCGCCTAGAGCACTCTCATCTGTGTGTAACTCCATATATTGTTCTGGATTAAATAATATTGTTCAGTTAGTATTGCTACTATATGCTGCTTAGCTGCTTCACATCCGCTGGTATAATTTTTCTAAAATAATTGGCAAGGTCCAAAAAACTGTCTAACATGCTTAATCGAAGTTGGTGTTGATGACCGTACTAATGCATCTATTTTTGGTTCGTTTGGCCGGATACCATCTATAGAAATTTCTCGGCCCAGATAAGTGATTGAGGATTGTAGAACCTTATATTTTTGGAAACTCAATAAGAAACCATTTTATTTGTTAAAGCTTTAAGTATTTTAGCAATGATCTGTTCACCTTGCTAATTAATAAAACTCTAAAAATTTTCAATGTTAATAAACTTTTATTCAACTTTTTACAGAGAGAAAAATCGGATCGTTCTCCTCAATCAAAACAAAAAACTTAAAAATATTTGAAATTGAATTTTACTTTTTAAATTCAATAAATGCACAGCCAACTGGGTCGCCACAGTACCCCCTCCTAGCGATGGAGTACTAGCAACAACGCGACACCACAACTAAGTCGACAACACCACTCTTAATCCCGAAATTCCGCTAACCTTGCTGGGAAACGCACTACTCTACCAGCTCGTGTCACTTTCGGAATCGGCAACAGGGATTCACGCCTACAATCACCAGAAGTCACTAACTGATCACCATTCAACAACGCTGAAGGCTGACGCGTTTCTGGAACAACCTGTTCAAGATCATCACACGTTAAGTACGCCGCCTTCAACCTATCATTCGAAACAGTCACCTCTCTCCCACGGCAAACAATAACAGACGTCTTCTCATTACGACTCAGCACCTCAAATGGACCTTCGTAAGGCTGCTCAAGTGGAGCTCGAGCACGATCCACTCGAAGAAAAACGTGCTTACAATTAATAACGTCCCGCGGAACATACACAGATGGATGACAATGTCTTGTTGATTCAACGGATTTAACCTTAGCTAAAGCCCTTCGCAACGCCGACACAAAATCAGTCTCGGACGACTTCTGCTTGAAATCCGAAAGCATCTGCCCTGGAACACAAAGAGGATTTCCAAACAACATCTCTGAAGGACTAGCATTTAGGTCTAGTTTCGGTGTCGTTCGCAATCCCAACAACACAAGCGGAAGAGACTGCGTCCAATTACTTGAGGAATGACATCGAATGGCTGCCTTCAATGTTCTATGGAAACGTTCAACCATACCATTTGCTTGAGGATGATAAGCCGTGGTATGAAAGTGTTTCACTCCAAGCAATCTCGTCAGTTCCCGAAATACAGCAGACTCAAACTGCCGACCCAAATCAGTGGTAATAGCCTGCGGAGAACCAAAACTTGCCACCCAACCGTCGATAAAAGCCGCTGCAACTTCTTCTGCCGTAATGCCCGACAGAGGCACAGCAACAGGCCACCGAGAAAAACGATCGACGCAAGTCAAACAATAACGCTTCCCCTGAGACAAAGGCAATGGACCCACAATGTCAACATGAACATGCTGGAACCGACTATCAATATCAGCAAACAAACCAATTGGTGTTTTAGTATGCCGCTGAATCTTGGACTTCTGACACGCAATGCAACTACGCACAAACACAGCTACATCCTTAACCAAACCAAGCCAAACATACCTAGCCTGCACCAATTTCCGCGTTGCTCGAATACCAGGATGAGCCAAACCATGGAGTTTTGAGAGTACCAGCTGCCGACAGTTTGCGGGAACAAAAGGACGAACACGACTGCCTGACACATCACAGTACAGTTCAATACTCGAATCCGGCAATCTCAACTTCTTCAACCCAACACCATCTTCAGACTGGCTCTTCAGCTGAGCAAGCAACTCTGCATCAGTCTTCTGCCCCTCAGCAATTAACTCAATAACATTTGCCTCCAACTGAACCGTAGCAACCCGAGACAAAGAGTCAGCCACCGTATTATCTGCACCAGCCAGATGACGAATATCAGTGCAATACTGACTAATAAACTCCAGCTGTCTTGCACGACGAGGAGATGCCTTCTCACTTATTTGCCTGAACGCAAACGTTAAAGGTTTGTGATCCGTAAAAATGACGAAATCACGTCCCTCTAATGCATACTTAAAATGCTGGACAGCTTGATAGATAGCAGTCAACTCACGATCATAAGCACTATACTTAGTCTGCGCTGGACTCAAACCTTTTGAATAAAATGCCAATGGCTGAGTCACACCTTTCACTACTTGTTGGAGAACAGCACCCACCGCAACGTCTGAAGCATCAGTCGTGAGCGTCAATTGTGCATCCAGAGCCATGAAGTTAAGCAACGTAGCTTGGGCAAGATCATTCTTGCAAGCCTCAAAAACCTCTACATCTTCTGGAGTCCAAGAAATCACCGACTTATCATTCTTGCGGTTACCTGGTGTAAGATGAAACAACCGCTGCTGATTCTGCACAGCGTTACGCAGAAACGGCCGATAAAAGTTCACCATGCCTAAGAATTGTCTAAGCTGTTTAACCGTTGCTGGCAGAGGAAAATCACGAACAGCTTGAACTTTACTCTCCGGAGGACGTAAACCCTTTGCACTAATAACGTGCCCAAGGAACTCGATCTCGGAACAGCCGAACTTACACTTGGCAAAATTCACGGTCAAACCAGTTTCTCTAAGTCGATCTAAAACCAGTCGCAAATGCATTCTGTGTTCTGCTTCATCTTTTGACGCAATTAAAATATCGTCGATGTACGCAAAAACGAAATTAAGATCACCTAGAGTCTCATTCATAAAACGCTGAAACGTCTGGGCAGCATTACGGAGACCGAAAGTCATAAAGCGAAACTCGAACAGGCCAAACGGAGTTGTAATAGCTGTCTTCGGAATGTCTGCCAGTGCAAGCGGTATCTGATGATACGCTTTCTGCAAATCTATCTTCGAAAACATAGTTTTACCATGAAGAATACTCGTCACATCATGAATGAACGGAATCGGATACAGATCAGGTTTAGTTTGCGCGTTGAGCATGCGATAATCGCCACACGGTCTCCAACTTCCATCGCCTTTGCGAACCATGTGAAGTGGACTTGCCCAACAGCTTTTCGAAGGTTGACAAATCCCTGTCTGGACTAAAAATTGGAATTCCTTCTTGGCTTCTTCAAGTTTGGCTCCAACTAAACGTCGGGGACGAGCAAATGACGGCGCACCAAATGTCTCGATGCAATGTTCAACCTTAGTAACTAAACCCATCCGATTTGCACTCATAACGCCTAAATCACGGTATTCATTAACCAGCTCAGCATAAGCTGAAACTGAACCACACACACGCACAGTATCTTCTTGAGACACAGCAGCCTTACCCTTCATCATCAAAGTCGTCTTCGAATCAACTAACCGCTTCCTTTTCAAATCCACTAACAAGTCATAGTGATTAAGGAAGTCGGCTCCAACAATAGGACAGCTAACATCCGCAATCACGAACGTCCACGGGAAATCTCTACGCAAACCCAAAGACAAAAGCAGTCGACGCTCGCCAAATGTTTGAATAGGCGTACCATTAGCGGCATATAAATTAACTGATGCAACACTGTTAGCCCTTTGCTTCCAACGACAGAACGACTTCGGTAAAACTGATATGTCCGCACCAGTATCAATGAGAAAAACGGTCGACGTGGCGGGATCTTTAATACTAAGTCGAGCTATACGAACACTAACCCCTTCTCGGCTCGACGACGTAGAAGGAGTGCCTAGTTTTTTGACTGATGAGAGCTTGCCACAAAACTACAGGGCTGCCGACAAGCATTAGCTCTATCACCAAACCTTTCGTGATACCAGCACCAATCTGGATGACTTCCTGGTCGGGAACGAGTTCGCCTACGTCTCCTCGATGACGATCGACTTTGCACCGACTCACTACGACGTAAATCCAAACGACTCAGACGCTGTTCGATTTGCTCAAGCCTTCGTAAAATCACAGCATTCTCAGAATAGGCTGGACAATCAGAGGCTGACGCTACAGCTATCTGTTGAAAATCACCCGCCTCGCAAATACGATCTGCTAATTTCGCCAGTTCTGCTAGTGCCACGTTCGATGCCTGCAGAATAGCGCGCACTTGTGGTGGCAAACGCTTCAGCCAAAGAGACTTAAGGAACTCATCGCTCACCTTGTCTTTAGCTAACGCTGTCAACTCCGTTAGCAACTGTGTTGGGCGTCTATCACCAAGTTCAACTTCTGACAACAACCGTTGAATCTTCCGCTGCTCGCTCTCACTGTACCGCTCTATGATGCAAGCCTTTAAATTAGCGTATCTTCCAGTTTCAGGAGGATGAAGCACTGCATCACTTACATCGGCGATAACACTTGACTCAATCGCTGCTACTACCGTGTTGAACTGTGTGATGTCACTCGTAATGGCAGCTACTGCGAATTGCGCCTCGATCTGAGCAAACCAAATCTCCGGTCGCTCGTGCCAAAACGGTGGCACCTTCACTGCTACACGGTTTACGACACTTCCACTATCAGAAGCCATTACTACACCTTCGTCTGCAACTGACATCACAGCTCGATAATTAGATATTTAGCTCAGAAGTTAATATTTCTAAATTTAAACTTTTTCGAAATCACGTCGGGGTCACCAATTTAGCAATGATCTGTTCACCTTGCTAATTAATAAAACTCTAAAAATTTTCAATGTTAATAAACTTTTATTCAACTTTTTACAGAGAGAAAAATCGGAACGTTCTCCTCAATCAAAACAAAAAACTTAAAAATATTTGAAATTGAATTTTACTTTTTAAATTCAATAAATGCACAGCCAACTGGGTCGCCACAGTATCATATCTTGATTCTTTAATTCTTCTACACTTTTTTTGTTGATATCAAAACATTATCTATATCTACCAGTATCTTTAAAATCGCATAAAACAGCATCATTAGCACGTTGGAACACAATATTCATATTGACCATTCGATGGCATTTGAGAGAAACTTGCTCAAAAGATGAGAACACTGCGTTACCTACTAACTTCTCTAAGTGGTCATCAATTCGTGCAAAGGGTAGCGATCTTTAATCGTGACTGTGTTTAATGCTCGATAAAACACGCATAATCTATTTTGTCAATTTTTCTTCTTTGTTAACACCACTGGACTAGTAAAAGGATAATTGCTATTGTTGTAATTGCAGTTCTTTGTATCAACACCTTTATTGCAGTTAATATTACTTCTCAATTACAAACTATATAAATTATATAAAATTTGTTTTCTTAGTATAAAATTACTTCTGTCAAATTGATTTCTTAATGTATACTGCGTTATCATCACACTATCATGCACTATATCATTATTTTATATTTTGTGAGAATATCAGAAATAATTTTATGTTCATTTGGGACCATACAATAGGGTCTTTAGTAGACGCTAGCATCTTTTGAAAGACGGATATTTAAGGAACGACTGAATACGGTGGTAGTAGAAAAAAGCTTTAATGAAGCTTTTCGAATATTTATTAAAAATGTTTTTGAGTCCTTTAGACATAAAAAGTAATTTTTCTGCCACATAACTTGTAGCGTATTTAGAACCACTAAACCAATGAAGAGTAGAACCTTTAACATCTGTAATAATGTCTAAGCTAGCATATTTCAAATTGTTGCAAGGAATTATTATTTGATTTGTCATATATTGTGTCATTAAGAACTAAGTTTGTTTATTATTATTTCAGTTTATTTTAATATTACAATTATGTACATTAGTACATTTCTTTCTTTACATTATTATCTCTAACTGCGAAGACGCTTGCGAATACTTCACTCGCAAAAACATAACAACGTTGTTAAACTACATTGTTAGGAATTGAGAATTAATGAATAGGGTGACAGCTCGGCCCTTCCTGACTGCAAGTCGCCTCGGGTTGCGTTTCTTCTTCCAACTCTGAGTCATCTTCAAAATTGTCAATGTCAGGATATAGAGTACACCACGGCTTCAGCTTATCGCTGGTATATATTGATGAATACCTTCGAGTTTTGATTTTACGGTCATCCATATCCTCAACCAAATAGCGGTCATTCCCAATAACTTTCGCTACCACATACGGTCCACGATATTTCGGTTCTAACTTTTTCGAATCGCCAGTAGCTGATGGAACGTTTTCAACTACTACCAGATCACCTTTATACCGTTTTGGCTTTTTATGGCTACTGTCAAAACGTTGCTTCCATTTGGAACGTGCAGCTTCAATGCGTTGGACTGCTTCATGTCGGCGGGCAATCATATCTACTGGAGTATCATCTTGTAAAGCCTCGTGTAAATTATTGGCTGTTATATCTCGCAATTTAAAATCGAATATGAGATCGTTTGGAGCAAAATTAGTAGTTGAGTTAATTTGAGTGTTAAGCATCCACTGTAGTGATCGGAGTTCTTCGTCCCAATTTTTGTCATCGGATTTGGCTGTCCTTAAGAAAGATAGAATGGATTGATTTAACCTTTCCACCTGTCCATTAGCTCTCGGAGTACGAACGGCTGTCTTAACGTGTTTAATTTCATTCAGCTTACAGTAGTCAAAAAAAAGTTTAGAGGTAAATGACATTCCTCTATCGGTGATAATTTTCGCTGGCAAGCCGAAGATACTGCTAAGTTCATTTAATGCGTTGATTATGGGCTGTGTTTTGGTGTTACGCACAGCTTTAATAATCACGTATTTGGTGAATCTGTCCACTAACACTAAAATATGCGTATTTCCTTTTTTGCTTCTTATAAATGGACCAAGATGATCGGCATGCAAAATACGAAACGGCATTAACGGCTCCAATTCGTCAATATGTAACCTTCACTTCGTCCACCTGGTTTTCGATTAAAACAGCATTCGACACAATTAGCAATATAGCCTTTAACAAACGTTCGCATTCTAGGAAACCAATAAGTCTTCTTAATACGGTTAATAGTTTTGTCGACTGAAAAATGACCTGCTTTATCGTGGCAAGAGTTTACTATTTTCCAACGTACTCCCTTCGGTACGACCCATAGTTCTTGATGGTTTAGTTTTCGATATAATCGGGAATTTTTGACTATGTAATCATTTTCGATTTGCTTCCTCTGACTGGACTCGAGTTTACGTTGAAGTATAGCAATGATCGTTTTCAATTTCGGATCTTGAATCTGCGTAGCGGCTAACCAATCGTCTGTTGAAATTTCTATACGTAAAATTCTGTCGGCAACAGTTTCAGGTTCTCGGGCAGTTTCAGACGGATTCCTACTAAGGGCATCCACGTGGGACATACGTATCCCAGCGCGATGAACAGTCTCGAAATCAAAATCTTGTAGTTTCAGCCACCATCTGGAAACTCGTGCAATTAACGGAGTGGACGTTTTTAGCATTGTTATAGCTGAGCAGTCGGTTACCACTCTAAAATGCTTTCCCACTAAATAAAATCGAAAACGCTCCAGTGACTCAACGATAGCTAACACCTCTAGTTCGTAACTATGGTATTTTTCTTCCGAACTGTTACAATGGCGACTGTAGTAACATACAGGCTGTAAAATGTTGTCGTCAGATCGTTGAAATAATATACCAGCTAGACCAATTGCGCTGGCATCAGTGTGTACTTCATGCTCTTTCCGCTGATCATAAATCGCAAGAGTTGGTTCGGAGCATAACTGTTCTTTTAGTTTACAAAATACTTCTTCTTGTGATTTGTCCCATATGAATTCAACATTATCCTTTTTCAGCAACGTTGTGAGCGGTTTCGAAATAAGCGAATAGTTTTTCACAAACTTACGAAAAAAACCTGTGAGACCAAGAAATCGGCGCACCTCCGTAACGTTTTTCGGTCGTTCAAAATTTTTAATTGCAAATATGTTACTTTCGCCTGGACATATTCCATTTTCATTTATTCGGTGGCCAAGGAAATTAATTTCTTTTGACAGAAAACTACATTTCGTTAGTTTCAGCTTTAGCCCCTCGTCACGTAGAATATTCAAGAATTTTTGTAACCGCTGTAAACCTTCTGATATTGTTTTGCTTAGTATAACAACATCATCTAAATATGTAATAATTTGACCTGCTGGCATTTTGCTAACCACTGAATTCATTACTGACTGAAAAACAGCTGGCGCGTTTACCAAACCAAATGGCATGTAGTTATACTCTAAGTGGACATCGTAAGTCATGAACGCAGTGTCTGGATGATAACCAGACATCAGATCGACAATGGTAAAATATCGGTTACCAGCTAACGAAGAAAACAGCTCTTCCATGATCGGCATAGGAAAAGGTTCTTAAACTGTGATTTTATTCAGCTCTCGGTAGTCCACACATAGGCGATCTTCCCCATTCTTTTTTTTCCACCAGGACTATTGGTGACGCAAAGGATGACTCATTTCGACAAATAATGTTGTTTGAAAGAAGTTCGTTTATAATTTCTTCTACACATTCACGTTTTGCAAAAGGGAGTCGATATGGTCGTCTACTAACATTGTAGCATAACTTTTTCTAATTAAAGACACCGAACTGCCTGCTGACTCGAATGCACAAATGTCGTTGCTTGTTCTTTTCGGGGTGACCAATGTACTTCTGTATTACCACTTTATTATTAATTAAAATACCTTTAATTAATTGTTGTGAATGTTTATTATTTTGCGTGCATTTATTGTTTTACACGTGATTGCGTTTTCACTTGCTTCTGAGAAGAGGCGCTAAAAACTAATGGACGCTAGACTTACTATCATTTATCATTTATATAAATATATGTTGTTTGAAATGCTGAAGGATTTTGAATGGTATTTGAGGACTGATGTGTGGCTGATTGCAGCAGTAAACGTACACCAGGTTGAAAAGTAATAATTACTTTAATTAATATATCGATTAACTTAAAATATTTTTTATCACGCTGTGGTTACTCCTTACTGCATTTAAAATACTTGGAGTGGATTCTATAAAAACACGAAAGTTAGTTTATACAATTGGAAAAAATTTCCAACTTTACCAATTATAACTGAACCACCATTCACGATATTGAACTGGAGTCTAATTTAAAGTTCTTAAAATAGCTGTAAAGAAATATTTATTAACATTGATTTATTGATTCTGACAGAAATGTACTTACAATTGAATGTAGGTCAGCTATTTTCTTCCATTGCTGGAATTAATATAAGAAATAAAGATAAATGTTCTTTAGTTTATCAGCTTAAGTTACTAAATATATATTATCGTAAAACTAAATTTTCAATATAAAATAACCTGCATTCCTAAAGATATCTCTCCACATTTGTTTGGATATATTTGAGTAGTACAAGTGTGGGTATTGCGCCAGATTTCAATTTCTTTGTTCTAATCAGAGTTCGTATTTGCGTACCCATGAGCGGCTCATTTCGGCTCATTCTGCTCACGGCTCATGAGCCGGCAAAAAACTCTTTTCATACGATGGCTCACGCTCACGAGCGAGCCCAACTACAGAGCTCACGCTCACGAGCAAGAGTCGCCATTAAGTTATAAATGGGCTCACGCTCGTGAGCAAGAGTATGAGCTGCGGCTCATGAGATCTTATCAGTGTGGCCAACATTTGAAAATTTTATCCCCCTAAAAGCCATTCGAAAAACCCCTAAATCCCCCTGTTCGTTAAATGCGGTTTTTTCTTTCTTTAAAGTTTCAAAGAATATTTCATTTATTTATCTCTAATATTACTTATCATATAAAACATATTTTTAAATGTAATTAGAACAAAACTCAAACAAATTTACTGCACAACACGAAACACAACCGAACACGACGGATGCTCGTACAACAAGAAGAATGAAAAAAACTTGCTAACCATTAAAAGCAGCCCACACACAGTGGTTGCCAGATTGATATAGATAATTTTAAACATTTCTCCCACCTAGACGTGGAGATACAACCGGATCTTGCGTCTATATTACTCGTGTGCTTCAGGACGTCCTTCAATGTCGATTGGTAAAACAGAGATCTTC